AATATATATATATACATTTAAGAATGCAGCAGCTAAATTAGACTCTCACAAAAGGCGATTTCTTTTTACTAAAAAAAAAGAAAATTCCTACATCCACCATAAGGCGTTTATTTCTTCTGAGTGGTCTGCCTCCTCTTCCTTACCGTCTCTGATCTTGTCCTGTCTGGCAGCAGACAGGTTGAACAGACTGCAATTCCAAACCTCTGAACAGATTGCAAATCCATTTTGACTGATTTGGTACTCAGTACACACACATATATTATGTAAACTAAAACTTTTATTTTGGATGTGATTAATCGTGATTAATCGTTTGACAGCACTAATTAGAATATATTTTTAGATATTAGACTTTTAGTTACTGTGTTTAAGAATCCTTTTTAAGGATTTACTTAAGAATTTCCTTTTTTTCAGGACAATTTAAGTTAATGTCTGGGGACAACTTGTCTAGACAAGTAAACCCACACACACAATGGCTGAACCACATGCAGCTTCCATGTACTCTGCCTCAGTGCGTACACTATTATCTAACCACGTCAAGTGTGTGGGCTTGGGTTTGTCAAGCCACACGTTCTGCTTATCTTCAGAGATTGTACGCCGTGAACATTTTTCTGTGATGCCAGTGAGTCTGAGAGCATTTGGGGCACTCAAAGTTCACTAGATCATTGCCCTGTATTTCTTTGAAAACAAAAGCAGATAAATCGGTCAGTGAAAAAGCATCCTCCAGTGAGCAGATATGCAGATGAATCACGAGGGCTGAGGACCAATGCAGGCAAGAGCAGTGGGTAATTACAGATAAATCTCTCCACAACACAGCATGAGATCACTACCATTTAGGGCCACATCTGATGAAAGCAAATACTTAACCATAAAAAGATAGGATGATGAAAGCTTTGTGTCACATAGTAAGCCATGAAAGGTACAGTACTTCTACTATCTAATAACTGATCTTTAAATCAGTTGCAACCCAAAATTGGAATTGAGTCCTTGAACTGTTCCCTTGAAAACAGCATGTTCGTGAATTCGTTCGTGAAGCAGACATTACTAGTTCTAGATTTATAGAGCCAGATTTTAAACTCATTTTGAGATTGGTTAGATATTGAGGGAGTTATTACAGTTTACCCCAAAAATGAAAACTCGCTCATTATTTACTCATGTCATAGCAATATATGCAATTCTTTCTTCTGTGTAAAACAAAAGAAGATCGGAAAAAAGAAAACTAATTCTAAATAAAAGTCATACAGGTTTGGAACAACATGAGGGTTAGCAAATAAATTTTCATTTTGGGGTGAACTATTGCTTTAACTGCTCTAATTCTGTCCAATTTAGTTAACAATTCACTGAAAAAAAAATTAGTTTAAAAGAACAGTCACTATCATCCATTTTTCTCTAAACATTTACCTTAAAACTATACTGAAAGCAATCACTTCCACTTTAAATGCAGTATGAGATAATGTTTGAACTGGTAGTTTGAAACATATGCAGTTGCTTTTATTAGAAAGCAATTCTAAATATAACAGTGCAGATCTAGTTTGCACAATTAGACTGACAATATGGAACACCATCGGTGTCATAAATATAAAAAACAGGATACACAAAACAATTACACGCAACGAATAGTACCCGCTTGAACCCTCCATTACCTTTAATATTCATAAGCTGTAAGGGAAGAGGAGAAAAGAGAGGCAGACACAATTAGACCACAAGGCTATATTAAGATCATCAGAGGCCACCAGATCTGAGCTACTTTGTCATTATTTCATTCTTACAACATAATTTCCATGATATTTCTGCACCACATAATTCCAGAGAAAATACTTGCTGCAGGGTATTAAATTGTCCTCCACACAAATGAAACAGCCTCTCAGCATTTCACAGTAGAGACCAGATACTTTGCTAGACAGACAGACAGACAGACAGATAGATAGATAGATAGATAGATAGATAGATAGATAGATAGATAATCTTGTCTGAGGATTTTGGACTTCTAAATAATTTATTACTTATGGAAATCAGACAAAATTCATTGGACCCTCCTGATTGAATCCCCTTTAACTACGCTAGAGTGCTTTATCAGTTAGGTGAATGGAGATAAATCATAATGATTTCCTTCTAAGAGCCACTGATCAATGAAAGCCCAACAGAATGCATTTGGTATTTAGGTTGTAAATGGGATGTTATGTTAACATATATGATGGTATGTGACAAATTCAGATTTTCTGATCACTTGTTTTGTGAGGCTGTTAACAGTCAGTGACTTGTTTAAAGGTGACACACCTACAGTAAACAGTAAATGCACAACATATTTGTCACAAAAATCATAATTTAAGTGTCACAAAATGAGACATAATGAATATATTTTAAATCAAAAATTGAACTTTTCTGTTCACTAAAAGTAACTCATACATATCATTCATATAATATTTTATGTTTCTCACCGAGGCTAAATCAAGCATTCAATTATAACAAATGTCATAACGGTGAAAAACAAACAAATTAGGGATGCACCGATAGGATTTTTTGGGGCCGATACCGATACAAGTGTCACAAAATGAGACATAATGAATATATTTTAAATCAAAAATTGAACTTTTCTGTTCACTAAAAGTAACTCATACATATCACCGAGGCTAAATCAAGCATTCAATTATAACAAATGTCATAACGGTGAAAAACAAACAAACAAACAAATTAGGGATGCACCGATAGGATTTTTTGGGGACGATACCGATACCGATTTTAACAAACACTTATTGGCCGATACCGATACTGATATTTGTCAGTTCCTCCCTTATTTGAAATTTTGGCATCAAAATAGATTTTAATTAATAGATATTTTGATTATGCTTTAAATCAGCAAAGTTCAAAAACACCTGCATTAAATTATACTAGCAGTTTTATTGCTGCATCATCAAATAATTTCTAATGAACATGGATTGGATCCATTTAACATTCAGCAGGCCTACATAAATAAAACAGAGCAAAGATACATATTAAATAAACAGTGCTTTTTAGGTAGGTTTAACAGTTTTCAGGTACAGAAATAAAGTAAACAAATGTAAAATAACATTTCACTGTATAAATTAAATCCATATTAATCCTTCTTTATTGTAACAGACTTTATTATGATTAATCTTCCAATTTGTGTTTGTATACATTTTAATGTTTTTTGTAAGTTTAAATATGTATGAGATCTCCTTTACTAAGGCGCGACATTTATTTTGACGGGTTTTCTAGTCTACAGAGCTATATGGGTAATGAAAGCACGCAGTTCTTCGGATTTAAAATTTGTCAGTTTATTAAGCACCCCCCAAAATCCCCAATCTGTATACATTTGTTTACTGTTAGTTGTACTGAGTGTTTTGTGTAATTCGCTGTATGTTGACGATAATGCAACTGAGAGAGAGTTTAATGTGCACTTCTCGTGCTGTGTTTTGTTTAGCTCTTATGGTGATTGTTTTGGAGTGAAAAAGGACGCAATAAACTTAATAAACCATCAGTAAAGTTTTGGTCATCATTCAGATGCGGTCCTCTACCCTTATGAAAGTTACAAAAGTTATTTAGTCAAGAATAGTGTGCGATCTTTTGTCTTTTGTTATTTGATTAGCATTAAAGTGCAGACAGCAGGGCAGTTAATTAATAAACCATCGGTTTGTTATATCGGCCTTTTTCCTTATATAGCCGATATGCCGATGGTTGTAAATTGAGGAAAAATCGGCCGATAAATATCGGGGGCCGATACATCGGTGCATCCCTAAAACAAATGTATGGACATAACACAAGAGGTGTCTTAAATCCACACAATTACGATTTATTATCAAGGTTTATCAAAAAAAAAAAAAAGACTTCCTTTTCTCAAACCTTCTTAGGTCTAACTAATAACACCAACATACATAAAAAATAAAAGGAATCCTTCATTCAGACCAACTCACAAATCTGAACTGCCAACTTCCTATTATGAAAAGTGCAAAAGCGGGAGAGAGATGTTCACCCGAAAATAAGTTTTTCCTGTTCATGTTCTTCCAAAAACTCAGTGGAAGTCACTGGTCTTCAATGTCATTTGATTCCCAGCAATCTTTAAAATATAATCTCTCGTGTTCGGCAAAAGAAAGAAATTCATATGGGTTCGGAACAACACAAGGGTGCGAAAATGATGACAAAATGTTCAATTTTGGGTGGATCTTCTGAGGAACATAAAATATATTTTGAGATTTGTCTTAGTGAAATTAAATGGGCTCCAGTGTTGTTTGGTTCTCAGCATTCTTCAAAATATTTTTTTTGTGTTAAGCAAAGCCATACGGCCAAAAATTGATAAGACCATATCAATTCGTTTTCCAGCTCTGAATTTTGCCAATGGTAACACTTGAGTGGAATGTGGATAGTTTGTGATTCATGTTAAAAAATAAGGCTGCACAAGTGTTGAAACTCGTGACTGGCTGAATTAGGAGACTGGCCTTGGCGTGGCTGTAACCAGTACAGACATCAATGCTGAACATTATTGCTACTTCCATGGGACTCGTTTATATCTGATCAAATGATGCTAATTAAATTAGCCCTCCATTACAAGCAGAAATAAAGTGGCACTTTAAGCAAGCGTTCCTTTTGAGAGTAGCTGAGGCCACACTGAAATCCAACAAAAACAACAATGCATGCAAGCTAAGAGGAACTAAACCAGTAAGCAGTGTGGCATTATTAGCGACAGCTCAATGATACGGAATAACAGGCTACCACAACAGCTGACTGATGCTCTCCACCGACTGCTTCTTCCACAATGCATCTGACAGGCAGAGTGAGGTTTGGAGAAAGAGTGGAGGTGACAGTGAAACAAAACCTATACACATGCACACACACATACGGATCCTCTCCCCTCCCCCAAAACACTCACTTGGTGTAACCAGTAGCTCCATCCACAAGCTGAATTCCTCCAGCCATCCTCAGAGCATCTGTGTGAGCATGCATTCATTGAAAAGAGCGTGAAGATGCACACATAGACCCTTACTCACCGCCTCTGAGTCTTCAAATCCATGCAGGTACAAATTGTCGTACATGGAGGTCTGATATTCCCACGGGATCACCTTAACGATCAAATGCAAATGTGGGATAAGGAAGCTCCAGCGAGAGTACGTCTAACAGTGCTCTCTTACAATCCCCTTTCCCACCGAAAGAGGAATGTCAAGCAGATGGCAGTCCAGCCCCTTTCGCTCCTGGAGCCAGCGTATTGTATTAATGAGGATGAAGCGTGATCGATCACATCATAGAGAAGTGGGGCTCTCCCCAGAGGCTGCAGAGACCTGGCATTTTATCAAGCTTCCACAAACAGAGCAGGAAAACAGAGCCTTCCTCAAGCAGAAGCTGATGACAAAGCAGCGAGGCCATCTTCTGATTGGCTGAGAGGAGCTCCAGTAAGAAAGGATAAGTGCTCTCTTCTGTTGACTGTTAAAGGAGGAGGAGAAGGGGTCTGCAGGGTGCTGACAGCATCCCACTCCTTGACCACTGGGTTTTCTGCAATTTTTCCTCACCGTTTCTATTTTTGACCATCTTGGATCTCACCTCTTTTTTCTTCATCACTTTCTTTCATCCAAGTTCACATATACTCCACTATTCATTTCACAATGCATGCATTAGTTCACATACACAGTAAAAATGAGGCGTTTGCAAAATTAAACTGGCAACAGCTTGCATGGCTTTTAAAAAATGCCTTTTTTAATTTAATTCATTTACTAGAGTGAATTTACATTTTTTTTAAGAAAAAGCTAATTAATTATATATTAATTAAATATATAAATGAATTATACTGTAAATAAATAATTATTATTATTACTCACTATTATAGTAAAATAAAAAACTCAAACAGTAGAGCATGACACTAGCAACGCCAAGGTCATGGGTTCAATTTCCAGGGAAAGGTAGAACTGATCAAACATGTACCTTGAATGCAGTCTAAGTCGCTTTAGATAAAGGCGTCTGCTCAATACGTAAAAGTAAATTGATATTATTATTATGTGTTTCATCTGTATGAAAGTGCTTGCTGTCTTAAACTACTGACAACATTAGAGACAAAACCATACTTTAAAATGCCAAACGCAAACCTTCACAATTGGTATATGAAACACAACAAGTGTAAACATCAACTAACTGATCATTTTGAGTTGAAGAACAAATGCATTCTGACAACACAACACAATACTAAATATGATGCCCAACTCAAAGGTGCAAACAATTGCAACCATATTAATTATTCATGTTCTAGAACAAATGATAAATGGAGCTAAACCGCAAACCATTTTCTAATATAGGCCTAAGGCCTATTTGAGTTAAAAAGCTAAATTGAGAAGCATTAATGCTGTTCCTGAAATTTAAAATTTAAAAACTACAATAATAAAGTGAATCTTTACAAAGCAGTAACATTTTCCAGCATTATTTACTTTTGAAAAATTTAGAAGTAAAAAGATCTAAACAATTTATCAGTATTATGTAATGCAAATATATATACTGTATACCACAATGGCATAACACAAAAAAGCAAACAACAACCCATTCTTATAAATGCCCCAGGTCCCTAAATCTCTGTAACCACCAGTTTATGGCAGATATGAATGATGAAACATAAATTGAGAGCTTGACATGAAAGTATTGAACCAGACTGTTCTTTACTGTGTGTAGGCCTATCAATACCTCTGCTTTGTGTAATTACATTCCCATGAATGTGGAGAAGCTATAAAACATCAACCCTATCCTGGGTCACTAATAAGAGCATATAAATTGCAGCTATAACCAGATATAACAAATGTACAGCTCTTTTTTTCCCCCTAAACCTGAACCTGTGCATCTTTTAAATATTACTGTTCAAAATTAAATCATCATTGCTCCAATAAAATACATGATGCCCTTGGACAAACAAAATAAAATTAGCCCAATATGAGACATATTTCCATAGAGATTTATGTATCATTAAACATGCAATTTTTAAGGTTGTGTTGCATTTCTAATTCTGTTATTGGTTCATATTTCCCTTGATTTCACTCCAGCTACTGAAATAATAAGAAAACCACGACCAATCAGGTCTTTTCAAGTAATTACATGGAAATGAACTGAGGGTGTTGCTGTTAATTAACCACTGCTCTCTGGAGTATAAAACTCTGGCACACATCGCCCCCTGTAGTTCACAAAGCACATCTACATGCCTGATTTTCTACTGGAACAAATTATTCTGAGTAAAAAATGACTAAAACACGCTCACCTCTTTAATATACTCTTAATCAAATAAACTCATGAAGAGTCCACAGACATCAAAAGAGAACAAGAGCAATCAATACGTTTCTCTGTTTCAACTGGATCCACCGAGAAGCATATGATGAGATAATAAGGCAAAATGTAATCTATTATTAAAAATAAATATATATGTTGAGAGAATGAATACTGTTCACAATATGAAATATTTACATCTACCAATAAAAATTTGTGCTATTATACATTATGTTTCGTAAAATGTACATGCATACTAAAATTATTTAACAATGCATACTTGTTAGTTAAATGAAATAGCCTACTCCTTCAGATCACTACTGATATTTTCACATTTAATTAACAAACATCTTTGAGTAACTGTGGATCAGCTATCAGAGTGAAAGAGCAGATAAAACAAAACACATTCCTGTTACTAAATAAAGGGCATCTTAATATCCTAACCCTGTAATATTTTTTGTTTCCTTTTAATACTTAACTGTCATTTGAATGGCTGTAATAATTCTACAAAGAACTTGCTTTTTGTGATTGTTTATTATGCGGCTTGTTTCCTGATTCCACTATTTAGGAAAATCTCTAAAATCTGATATGTCAACATCTGATCATCAAATCAACAGTCATGCTAATCTTGCCCACTGCTCTTGAGCTTTTTGGGGGCCTATGGTCAATAAACACAGCAGGGAAGCAAAGAAATAAATGAATTACTAAAGAGTTTAGCCATGTGACCTACACCAGCGAGATTAATAATTTATACAAGCTCCCAATGATCAGGAATTTTAAATGCGTTATTATGGATAGCTATAAAAACAGCAACAACTTCCAACAGCTTGGGTTAATAACTCGTAATAAGTCTCTCTACATCAGAATAGGATTGTTTCAGCTATAAATTCAAGGCAAGTTTAAGTAAGTTTTTATATGATTACCTGCAGTCTTGTCTTTAACCTTGATCTCAGCAGGTTTTTACCACCCCTGGATTTTCTAGCCTCATTTGAGCAGATCTCTACAGAAGCAAGACGTTTCCTCTCAGCGATACCCAATGCTCTGTAATAATCTTGCACATACATCTGGAGATGCATAGATACATTTTCCAGAGGATATGGGAGTATGCATTAACCTCAAACCATAAAAACGCAAACTGTACAAAAAGTCTACCATCTAAATCTGAGGTTCTCATAAATGATTGGGAGGCTTAGGGAAGAATCCAACCGGAACCTAGTTATTATGATCACATCTAAAAATATATACATATGCAAACTTTATAATGTAGGGTGTCCTCAATGAAGGGTCTTAGTTGGCTGTGAAACCACCTCTATGGCCAGAAATAGAGTGTCCTGGAAGTCAGTCAAAAAGCTGAATTCCCAAGGATCTTTGGGGACCTAGATTCTAGAATCATTTGCAGATAGGCTGCAGCATGAGCTGCGTGCATAAGGTGACTGATGAATATACCAATATACCAATAAAAACAAATGTAACAAAGCAATACGTATATTTTATGGTAAAATATCGTTAAAGTTATAAAATGCATATACATTTTCACTTAATAAAGTAATAATTCATCTGGAAAGAGGCATTAGCCATGCGAATCATTATATTTATTTCGATTTTTTTTATTTGCTTCTTCTTAATAATATAACAAATCTAAAATAAAATAAAAATAGTCACCAAAATGCCATCTCATAGTGCTTGTAACATCACTGTTTTTACAGTGAAATGTAAAAAGGGATAACAGTAAATGCTGTTTGGTTACAGTATAGGAATGAAGGCTTTTCCTGTCCACATTATGATTTAATACACAAAGCTTTTGCCTTACAGCTGCACAAACTCTGTAGGAGAAGCTGATGACAAAGCAGCGAGGCCATCTTCTGATTGGCTGAGAGGAGCTCCAGTAAGAAAGGATAAGTGCTCTCTTCTGTTGACTGTTAAAGGAGGAGGAGAAGGGGTCTGCAGGGTGCTGACAGCATCCCACTCCTTGACCACTGGGTTTTCTGCAATTTTTCCTCACCGTTTCTATTTTTGACCATCTTGGATCTCACCTCTTTTTTCTTCATCACTTTCTTTCATCCATGTTCACATATACTCCACTATTCATTTCACAATGCATGCATTAGTTCACATACACAGTAAAAATGAGGCGTTTGCAAAATTAAACTGGCAACAGCTTGCATGGCTTTTAAAAAATGCCTTTTTTAATTTAATTCATTTACTAGAGTGAATTTACATTTTTTTTAAGAAAAAGCTAATTAATTATATATTAATTAAATATATAAATGAATTATACTGTAAATAAATAATTATTATTATTACTCACTATTATAGTAAAATAAAAAACTCAAACAGTAGAGCATGACACTAGCAACGCCAAGGTCATGGGTTCAATTTCCAGGGAAAGGTAGAACTGATCAAACATGTACCTTGAATGCAGTCTAAGTCGCTTTAGATAAAGGCGTCTGCTCAATACGTAAAAGTAAATTGATATTATTATTATGTGTTTCATCTGTATGAAAGTGCTTGCTGTCTTAAACTACTGACAACATTTGAGACAAAACCATACTTTAAAATGCCAAACGCAAACCTTCACAATTGGTATATGAAACACAACAAGTGTAAACATCAACTAACTGATCATTTTGAGTTGAAGAACAAATGCATTCTGACAACACAACACAATACTAAATATGATGCCCAACTCAAAGGTGCAAACAATTGCAACCATATTAATTATTCATGTTCTAGAACAAATGATAAATGGAGCTAAACCGCAAACCATTTTCTAATATAGGCCTAAGGCCTATTTGAGTTAAAAAGCTAAATTGAGAAGCATTAATGCTGTTCCTGAAATTTAAAATTTAAAAACTACAATAATAAAGTGAATCTTTACAAAGCAGTAACATTTTCCAGCATTATTTACTTTTGAAAAATTTAGAAGTAAAAAGATCTAAACAATTTATCAGTATTATGTAATGCAAATATATATACTGTATACCACAATGGCATAACACAAAAAAGCAAACAACAACCCATTCTTAT